TTTTTAAGAAAATAAAATAAAATTTATAAAGCACAGAGCAACAAATGATGATGTAAAAGGAGATGATATTTGACTACACTCCACGAACTCTGATGTTGCTCGCTAAAATAAGATTCTTTTCTTGACTATCACATCATTTTTTGTATATCACATTTATGTTGTACGGAAAGTTGCAATGGTTTTTCTTATTTTTTTCTGTTTTCCTTTCTCATCTTCTCATCGCGAGATCGGTCATTTTAAATTTCAAAAAAAATCAAATTCACGCTCTCGAATATACTCACACACTTAAAGAAAGTGACCATTTAAACTCGTGCACATAGCACAGAATAGAACCGCACGCTGTGGACATACCGACATGTCGCTCGTGGACTGGCTGCGTAGTTCCAATGTGTACCACCTGTGGACATGCGCTAGTTTACGGGGCAGAAAAGTGATTACACATTCTCTTATAGACCTGGCCGCTCTCAGGCTTCTCTCTGCTCTTACTTCGTGCTTCTCTTCCACGAGCGCACACGGACAACGGTCTCGCTTGTGTGCGTATCTTCACCACGTCGGTGTTCTCATAGCACGGAATAGAACCATGTTCACAAACTTAGCACGGAATAGAATCATGTCCACGAAAAGCTATCGCAGAAACTCTTATGGCGTAGGTTAGGTTTACAACGTTTTGTCGCAATTGGTTGATTTGTCGGACGTGATCAATGGAATTGGACAGTGTGGATGCGACCTACGTTTGTGATCGTTGCGAGCGCCAAGTGGAACTTTCTTGAAGCAGTTTGTTCTGCTGAACGCGTTCGTTTTGTGTGCGATAGTTTTTACTGCAAATAGGTTATGTTCGACTTGACATGGTACGTAAATGTAAAGGTTATGTTTTTTTTGCTTGCGCGAGTGTATAAAAGCAAGGTGGCAACGCGAGATAATAATTTTATTCATCCAAATCAACGTCTTTACTCAAGCGAGTGATTTGAGTCAAGCGGGACGCTGCTGCAATGGCCAGACTCTAACTTGAGAGACTCTAGCTCGGCCGATGGATCGAAAGGTCTGAAAAAGCATGCACGCATGCGCACCGATACAGGAGCAAAACTGTGGCGAAGAAGGGTGCTGGCTAACAGGCCGTTGTCTGGTCGAAGGCGGTAGCCAGACCTAGCGGTAGTCGTCGTCGCTGCTAGCCTCGTATCGCTTCTAATTCGCGTTGCTATGACAGTCCACCTTCGTGTTGCAGCGAGTGAATGCTCCGAGTCGTAGTGAGACTGAAGTTATTACAGAGCGCCGAACTCGCTGAGCCCGACTGATGTGCGTACTCATGTTACGGCGCGGTTCACCGATGCGAGCAGGTCGGCCGAAGGGATCGACCTCGTTTAGGTCGTCACAAGCTCGCCGGAAAACTTTCAGAGTGCATTCAGCAATTCTCATCTCAACCAGGTCGACCAGTCGCGGTCTACTTGGGTGTGCTGATCGTCAACGGGTCTTCTCGCGAGCACGCGTCGTGGGTGCCTCGTGTAAATGGCGGGTGATGTGATGGCAATGTTGTTGACGTGACGCGTGTCTTCTTGTTTCGTGTCGCTCACACGACTGACAATTCGCGCTGTCAGTTTTCGCAACACAAGAAGCGTTCGCGCTAAAGTCGATTTTTCATATACACCAATATATACAAAAGCCACACATCACCTTCTCTTTGAGTTTCTGAGTTCGCACGATGAGCGCGTTTTATTGAACTCTGCAAGAGAGTAGGGTACCAACTTGGAATTTATCTCGAGTTTTATGTTAGAGAATAATAGAAGCGTTGCATGATGTACGAGAGGTTGCTTGGTGATATACATCAAGAACGCGGCGAATACGCGACATCGATCGCGCCCAAGTGGTCGGAATGTTGCGTGTGTCTCGGCTTGAAAATTCGCACTCTTGACATCGCACGTATAACAGTATCTACGTTTATATGCGGAAAAGAAATGAAGACGTCGTTAATGATTGAAATTTTCTGAAGTATCACGCAGCCGCGGTGATTGTTTTTTTGTATACTCCGAAAATTGCCGGCTTCGAGTTGGGTGCGACAAACGAGAACGCAAGTTGGAGCACACAAGTGATCGATTGGCATTTCTGTAGATTCGCCGAACGCTAGATTTGACTAACGAGATTTTTTTTTTTTATTTTGGAACAAACAAGTAAAATAAAAAGCTATTATCGTTATCGTTTATTCGCCGGTATTGCGAATGACACACGCGATAATAGAGAACAGTAATATTTCTGTTTTATATTACAACTACTCATTTACTCATATACGTGCGATGATCCAATGACGTAAGATTGACATTTACGCGTGTACGCTTCTTCGGTAAAATTTAAATTATTCTTCGATCGTGTGTGTGTATGTGTGTGTATGTATGTATGTATGTATGTATGTATGTATGTATGTATGTATGTATGTATGTATGTATGTATGTATGTATGTATGTGAATGAGAGAGAGAAAAAGAGAGAGGAAGCATATGGGGAAGCGCAATTAAACGAATGAGAATGTGTGTCATTTCAATAGTGAGAGTTAATTGTCGTCTTTCTAATTGTTCACGTTTCGCGTAGATCCTAAGATTGTAATTTGTAATTTTAATCGTCTTCCGCGATGCCGATACAAATATGTGTGTGTAATGAGAGTGTAAAAATTCGCACCCGTGTGCGCTGCGCATCTTTAATAACTATCGTATTACACAATTAGATGTTTCAATTAAATATTGTGATTTTTGATTAATTAAAGAATTCTGGACAGGCAGGCGACTGTTGTTTCGTTATCATCTCACTTTATTACGATGAGAAACGCGCGTGTTAATAATCGCTGATGTAATTGGCTTCGATAACATTTATAATATAATACGTGTATAATACATTACTATGTAGCTTCAAATTTCTTTCCGCTGACTTTGCGGCGGAAGTTACATGACAATGATAAACCCGAATAAAAAGTGCATTCGCGTATTTTGTAATAAGTATCTTCAAGAGAAAAATGTGTGAAGAATTCTTTCTTTTTTTTTTTTTGCTTTTTGCGCGGCGAACTCGTATATCGAACGAATCATTGTTGTCGGTACAATTGAAACGAGAAAGCGGCAATTTGCAAGATAGAGATAAGAGAGAAAGAGAAAGAAGTGTGTATGTGTGTGTGTGTGTTCTTTACCGTTTCGTTTCCGCATATCTTGCGGTATCGAATGTGCCGGAAGCGTAATATGGCCATGAAAAAACGATCCAGTTTAGTTCTATTACACGTACGCGTGTACATCTTCTAGGGGCGACCTTTAGCTGAGATTCTGATACTGATTTTTACGCGAGGAAATTCACTACTGAAAGGATCATAAAAATGTCACGGATTTCTTATTTAATCGCGAATAAATCGATCTGCATCGTGTTTAAGGGACTTTCCTCGCGATATAATATTACTAACGTTGTTTTCCTCAATGAATTCCAGGAGATGATCTTGAGAGCAGCTCCATGAGTGTCGGTTGATTCGAGTGTGACTTGTGCGCGCTTTAAGAGCGAGCCGGGACGTTGGGGACTCACTCTGGGACGAAGGACGGGGAACTCGCTTCGAAACGAATTCGTGACCGACTGTTTTTTAAATCGCCGTGAGTGCCAAAGCGTTATCGCGGCGGCGGTGACGAAACGAACAATGTGCGCGACTTGACGCCGTCTCTATGCACCGGCCAGTAACGCGCCGATTGCACGCGCCGTTGCTTCGTCGTACGGTGCTGTGAAAAAATCGCGGTGATAAATAACATTATATACACAAATATATATATTTATTTATATAATATATACGTATATATATATATGCTACAAGGTGCAAGAAATCGCAGACTGTTCGCGATTGCGTCGCGTACGGCCGCGTCGAGCACGTTTGAACAATCGAGAAACGAGATATCGTATGTTATCTCTTTCTCACATTCGGTTTGGGGCGTTTAGCGAATAAAGAAGATGTTTAACTTTATGAAGAAGACCGTGGAGAAGGACGACAAGGAGAAGCGGAAGCGCGAGAAGAAGGAGCGGAAGGATGTCAAGAAACGCGATCGCAGCAGCATGTCCGCAGAGGAACTCCTGCGATTAGACGAGGTAAGTGCGACGATGTTGAGGTTGTGCCGTTTAAACAACGGTTTTACCTTTTGTCCTGTTTTGTTATTTATTAAAACTATTTTAGTATATGTTATTTATTAAAACTACTTAATCTCTATTTGGTTTAATTCAAATGCGCGTTTCTTTTTTCGTTAGTTGCTCGCACCCCGTGTTTCGGTGTTATTGTGACAGTAACCCTACTTACACAGTGTAACGTTACAGAACAAACATTTTATTAAACGTTCATTAATTATGCGGAGATTTAATGGACGTGTAATGATTTTTGTTCTGTGCAAAAATTTATAGATTTCAAACAATTAACAGAAAATATGCTTTTTTTGATTTTTACATTAAACTCGCAACGAAGTTGGTTGTCGCCTTATCTGATGACAACGTGGATACACGTACGTTGAAACACGTATTTACGAGTTGTACAGAGATATTTGTATTACATGTACGTCCAGTAGAAGTGTCCTATCGTAAATCATTTTATTAGATACCGAAGTGACAAAGTCGTTTTCTCATATCTGAATTGATACTTAACAAAATATGAGTCATGTGTCACATTACAAAAGAAAAAACATATCGGAAATTTTATTAAAAATGTTTATGTAGAAAAGTAAGAAATCTACAAAGAGAGATGGATCGATGAAAGATACGGATAAGATTTCTCGTTAAAAAGCTGTTCGTTCTTTTCTGTAGATTCAGTATTGTCACTGGTTGGATGTGGTTTCGCGCGATAAGAAGCGCCGATTGCATATGTCGTCGTTATATGTTCTCGAAATAAGAATTGCGAAATTATTCTACACGCGCGATATGGGCAACACGATGGTAGAATCGCATCGTTCGAAAACTAAAAGAAAACTATTAGGAAAGATTTTTGTAAGACTCCGTAGTGCACACTTTTGTATATTTGACCTAAATTACTCGTATTAATTGTTTGTGAAAATTATTTGTATTCATACTTTATCACGCAGGTTCGTAGATCACTGAAAATTCCCGGTCGCCGGAAGGAGAAAGAAAAGTTACCGAGCGGCATCACCGCGGATTACAGCGCGTCGTTTTTCGCCCACTTGGACCGCGATCTTCTGGACGGCGCTCAAAACACAGGATCGGGTCCGGGCTCGACGATCAGCGCTAGCACGAGCAGCTGGACCACCAGAACACCCGATGGATTGACCCAGAGCGATTCGTCGGAGGCGTCCCTCACATCTCTGACCACGACAACGACTATGTCATCGACGACAACGACGAGCTACGCTGGCGGACACTCTACGGGTAAAAATTTGCCGCCGTTGCCACCGAAACCTCCGAAGCGAGGAATCTTGAAAGGACCCCGATTGACCGTCAATAGCGGGTCTGTGAGCGTTCTCTCGGAAGAAAGCTCTTTGCCAAACGGCACAGAAACCAGTTACCAGGAAGCTAGTAATAATCTGCTGGTGAGAAACACTCTTCAGAACGAAGTAATCGCTTATCAGAACGTGCCGACGCATCTGAACAACGTCTTGAACAAAGACGAGGTCTTCAGCGAGGAGGAAACAGTGTGTCAGACCACGTGGCGCGTTACCCCGCAACAACAGACGGTCATTCAGCAACAATATCAACAGCAACAACAACAACAACATCATCAGATTGACGCTAAATTGCTGCAGGTTAGATAATGCATTGATACATACACAATGTAACTGATGTCACTTACAACACATCAAAGTATCTATTTATATTCAGGTCGTTACCAGTGCTAGTCCATCCGCGGATTCCTTGACAGACACAACAAACTCGAGTTTTGCGACGCCGCCGTTCAGTCTGTCGCCCGTCGGCGAGTCTCAGGGCTTCTCGAGGTGGCGGTCTTCCGTCTCCTTCGAGGAGCAAGGAATCGAGCTGCAGCTCCCGGAGATCGTGCCGCTCGAGCTACCCGAACCTCGGGAACTCACCATCCAGAGGCAACCACCACCTAGAAACGACTTCGGGTTTTCGCTTCGTCGTGCCGTAATCGTAGAACGAATGGCGAACGGTGTCACGCAAATGAGACCGGTGATTTTCGCCGAGCCTGGTGCTTTGGTGCAGCACAACAACGACACGGGTCTATTGCCTGGTGATAGGCTCATCGAAGTCAACGGTATCAATGTGGACGACAAATCGCGCGAGGAAATCATCGATCTCATCAAAAGCTCTTGTAGCAGCGTCACCGTAAAGGTAAAATTTTCAATTTTAATAATTTATGTAGTTCGCGCAAAAACTTAAATTATTTAAATATTTCAATTGTTGTGTACAAGGAAAAAAATAGTGACGTTTATCTACTTGTCAATATTTACGATGCAAAATTGTTCAATAACTACAGAGTATAAGAAAGAGAAGCATCTTTCGTTTCATTTAAATTTCATATTTACGCTATGCATATATTTGTTACAAAGAAAGATATTTGTCGAACACCGCGCGCGAGAATGCTTTCGAAGTCAGAACGTACTTCAAAGAATATTACACAAGCGCGATACTCTATTCCATCGTCATCCTTTTCTTTCTCTAGACCGTACGGGTCGAATAGTGTCGATCCCTCGTTGCATGCTTTGTGTGACGAACCTTTCCTTTCTCGAACGAGGGGGGGGGGCAACAAAGGTTGTTATCATAAATACAAAATTTGGAAGTATTTATCAACAAGCTGATTGCTCTAAAACGATATCGAACATGACGGCATCGCGTCTTGTGTACAACAGAATCTTTTCAATGTGTTTATCAATTGATTAATTTATCGTCTATCTTTTGATAGACTTACTCCCGTTATCACTTTTATCTCATGTTCCAACCTTGATATTACAGAGAGAAACTTCTTTTCTTTTGAGAAAATGCGTGCGACTATCCGCTCGATATTATACACAGGGAAATCCGCACCGTGGTGAAAGGCACCAAGGAATTTCTTAAGTTCTCCTCGGAGGTCATGGAAAGGTGTCGATTGAATATCGTTTGCGGACGTTCGATATATTGCGAAACGCATTGTGTGTATTCTTCCCTGATAACGTTGTCCGTCTCACATCGATCGATAATTTTTTTATCGAAAAACAAAGTATTTTTTTATTGATTAAAAGTTTAATTTACACGGCAAAAGTAAAACAATTCGTATAGTCTCTTTCTCGTCTTAAAAGATAATTACCTGCAACTTTCAATAGTAATATCGTGAAAAGTGAACATGAATTTTTATTTGCGACCGCTTATTGCGTAATGACGATTTGAACTAAGAGCGAGCGACGAATTATCGCGAATTTGCAAAGAAACGGACGACCGGGACGACCGGGCTGTTGGGTTACGACCATTGATTGCCGTGCGATGTCGGTCGGTTCATTGCCACTGCTGGCAACGAATATAGCGGGATCGTGAGTCACTGTCCCGCTAATAAAACTATACTCGGGGACGATAGCGTGTGAAAATAGCAGCATTACCGAGAATCCGATCTTCTTCCATGGTCGCCATCCATGGACAAAATCGACCACGTCGAGCGCGTGATGTCTCGTCTCTTAATAAGACGTGAGGGAGAGACGAGTGACAGACGGGGGCCGTTAGGATCCGTGGAAATGGGGAGGACGAAAAAGTAAAAGGGAAGGGTCTAAACAGAGAGAGGTTTAAATGTATCTGACCTTGTCCTTTGTAGCCGCGGAATGCTAAAAATGCCGCCTTCGTACGTACATACATGTAACCCACGGCATGTGCAATTCCGCCTTGTTGTCCAGGCGGGCGGACAGACGATTCTCCCTTTCACTGCGTTCCTCACGCGTGCCGAACGTAATCTCTCCGGGTTGATTGAATGGCTAATCCGAAGACTTCGTACGTCAGCGCGCCTCAGAAAACGTCGAAGAATCAATACACACAATGCGCGTTACCGCGCGTTACATTTACACTCGTCGATTTATTTTGTTCGATAAAATCGTCAACGGAATGCAAATCGAAGTTGTGCCCGGCCGTAACCAAACTCTAAAAGTTCTCGTGACGATGTGTAAAATGTGAACACGTGAGTTTTTATTTATCACAAGAGATCTCGAAAGACTTTGAACTTGTAAACATCCGAAAAGGCTATAGACGTGCGAGAGGATGAGAGAGAAAAAGAAATCGT